GGACTCGCGCCGCGCGCATCAAGTTTTGTTCCGGACGAAATATGGAAAAGAGAAGTTATTCCGAGGACCCGCTTATGGCCTGAGCCAGGCGCCGCGCCCGGGCAGCACGACACATAAAAGGGGGGCCATTAGGGAAGCGCTTAACGACTCATTACTCGCCGGACCGCACAGCTCAATTTTTCCGACGTCTTCGGGAGACATTTTGTACCAAACCGTTCCAAACCTTTGGTGAGGCTGATTGAGGTGAAGAAATGTGTTGTTTTGATTTCCCTCGAAATCATATATGGGTGGGAAACGTAAAGAAGAAGAAGAAGACGCCTGATGAATGAGTCGGTTCATCGGTATATTATTGGCTTAATGGATTCCGTAAGAGGGAATGCAGAAGGAGAGTGGCCGGGGGGCTTTTTGTGAAAACACTCACACTCACACACTCACACTCGCGCTCACACAAACACACACTCGCAGCGCCCAGTCCAGCCCAGGGGGGGTCACAACACCTATATGAAGGTTCCAGCGGAGACAAGGATGGATGTTCGTAATGTGTTTTCCCTCCAGCTGAAGGTACGGACGCGCGCTCGTGACGGCGCCAGCCGGCGGCGGCGGGGTGCTCCGGTGTACTTCGTGGTCTGGGCCGGGCCGGGCTGGGCGACAAAATAAAAGCACTGCGCTGGCCGAGTGAAAGGCCCGGCGTGGCCCGGCCTGCACGGCGTCTCCACGGGGCATAAGTGGCCACGGCGAGCCGTAACACACGGACGCACTCGGCTCTGGGGGCGGCGGGATGGGATGAAGTCACTAAGAGATAATCCATGTATCTTTATTGCGCTTGTCGCAGATACGCGAGCTAGTCGCCCCGGCCCGGCCGGCCCGGCGCGGACTGGACCGGCGGCAGCGGGCTGGACTACCAGCGTGGACAACGCGGAGTGCACCGGCGCAGTGTGTGCAGCACACTGTGGAACTGCGGAGGGGCTACGCGCCGACCAGTCCTAGAGCTCGTACCATTTTAGGAGCCGGGGGAGCATAGACCGCTGAGAAAACCTATCTCATCTCAGGTTCAAATCTTTGAGGGGACCATATAGAGCATATATACCCAAAACTCCGTCCAGTTCCTCCGGTCCACTGTATACCGCCCCCTACTGCCTTACAGCACGGCGTCGTGCACAGGCAACCCACCCACACCCATGCATGCCGGCACAGTATACGTAGCACGGGTTTTTTAGCTACCTGCTGTGCGGAACCAGCGTTTTGAAAAAGCATAACAACGAGAAATGTCCGCGACTTGTAATTACACTTTACACAACAGGGTTTAGTTGTAAACGGGATAGTTAAACGGGGAAATCACTGGTTACTGGTGGTCGGCTGGCAGTTGACAGTGGTAGTTGGCAGCCTCTTGCTCGAGGGGCGAGATCGCCCGCAGCCGTGCCTACGCGTGCCTCGGGCTGCGCGCACGTGCGCGGGGCGCGCGCGGGGTCAGGCTCGGGCCGGCTGGCAGGTGTGTCCCATCTCCCGTCGCGATGTGTCCCGGGTGATGGAGCGTCGCCATCGGGGCGCTCTCCGCTGGAGAACGCGGCTGCTCGGCCGCGAGTCGGAGAGGCGCGGCAACATATAATCGCCAATCGCCTTCGGAGTCGGGTCAATGGCTGCCGGCGCCAGGTTCATAAAGTCCCGCGGGAACTATGACGGTCGATACAAATTCTCTATAGACGAGGGGAGGGGGAGACGTATTGGCCGCTGTACGCCGAGCTGTGCGCATATTCGCCGTCCGGTGCCAGACCAGACCGCCGCGTCCCGCCTCGCCCCGCAGCACCTCGCCCCGTTCCGCCCCGCCCCCCACGCTCGACCCGGAACGGCACGTGGGCCCGGACCTGCTGACAGTTCAAACTACGTGTTTCATGGAGCCACCGGACAGATGGAGGAACCTTGTACCGCTCGCTTCGCTCCGTCCAGCGCTGCCCGGCTGCGCCCGGCGCCCCCCTCGCCCCGGTCGGCCACCATCGTGCCCCCGCCACGCCTCGAGAGAACAAAACCGGGTTATGAAATTGTCAAACTCGACACACGTTATAGAGCCGCAATAAAGAGGCCCTCGTGCATCGTGTAGAACACAGGAACACATTCGGACGACCAAAACAAATTTCGGAACGCAAAGGACCCTAATTTATGGGCGACCCCCCAAGGACGTCTGGGACAATCGCAGCTCGGCGCTTGCTTGTCGGGGTGCGTCCCGAAACAACCTCCGTCTCTCACTCGCTCCGTGCTATCCCTTTCTGTCTCTCTCTCTCTCTCTCTCACTCACGCACTGGCGCTGGGCGCCGCGCCGGTCCGACCCGGTGCTCTCGAGGGGCATTAATCCTGATGGCTATACCGCGCCGTGGCGGGGTGTGGTGGTGTGTGGCGTGGCGGGCAGGGTGCGGAGGGGCGGGGCGGGGCGCGGTGGGGTAGCCACGCGGCGCCGTGGAGCGAAGGGAGGGGGCCGGTATCGTTAGGCGGCTGGTCCCTGATGGGGGAAACCACTTAGGCCGGGCCGTGCTGGGCGGGGTGGGCGAGGTGAGGCGGGGTGCGGGGCGGCGCGCCGCGGCCGGCCCGCGGGCTGGCCGGTGTGGGCCGCGGGCGGGGTGAGGGAGGGGGGAAGGGCTGCTCGCTATTAGCCACACACATAAACACAGAGGACTAAATCAGCGGTGCGCTGCGATTGCAATGTCTTCTCTAAGAGTATCGGGAGGTGATTGGTCGGCGGAACGGCGGTACGTGAACGCTAAATTGAGCTCCCCTGCGCGGGACACGCTGCTGCACTGCGGTGTTTGCGAGTTTCTCGCGCCGCGAGCCGAGCCGGGCGAGTGAGCGTACGCGAGGCGAAAATGGAAACACGTACGTTAAGTTCCGATAATCTTTGGCCTAATGGAAGAAAGCAGCCCGGAGGCTGGCGCGGGGCTGCCGGCTGCCGCTCCTGCAGCGGGCTGCGGTCCTGGACGGGCCGCCGGGCGGGTAGGCAGCCCGTCCTTCGTGTGGCGTGCGCGCGCGGCGGGTTGCGTGCCCGCGCCCTCTGCACGCCCCTACCGCCCCTGCCCGTGCCCCCGCCTCTCACTGCCCCTGCCCCCTCCCCTCGCCCACCGTGACGGATGGAGTGGCGCTAATGCCCACGCACGCTATTACTAAAAGGCCCGGGCCGTGAGATTAGCTCCTGTAGGACCCCTGTCCGGGCCCCGGGCCTAGGCGCACGCTGCACCCGCTGGGCACGCACGAGTTGTTTCACTTACTTCCCCGTCGAGTCCGTGCACGTCCCGGCGGCCGCCGCCATCTCCAGCAGGACCAGCAGGCCGCTCCAGGCCGCGCTCCAGGCCCTGAGGGCGGAAGGGAAGAGACGTGGTCCAGCGGCCGGAGAGGCGGGGCCTCGCGGGATGCTGCGGCCAATGCGGCCAGGCCGGCGGCCCCCTCCGCTCCCCTTCCCCCCGTTCCTCCCAGATTGATGGTGCGTCGCGCCGTTGCTGGCCGTCTCTCTGTTTCTGTCCCACACAAGCGTGCGTGCGTGCGTTCGTGCGTTCGTGCGTAGGCGTGCGCAACTCTAGCAGAGTCGTGGATTCGCCAATTATTCCAATGTGCATATCAGTGACACCTGGTAAATGTAAAGGAAATGCAGACTGCACGTAGAGGGAGCTCTGTGTGGCAACAAAACAGGTCAGCTGATTCCAATTTCGTAAAGAAATGGGATTTCCGAGACAGCCCGAAAGGAGTAACCCAGGAGTCTCTTTCCCCAATAAGGTCCAGGAAAAACTTAAGAGTTTTCCAGCCGAGACGATTTATACTCTTGAGGGCTGAAAGCAGATTGCGGTTGCTGAGCCGTTAATGTTGATACCAATGACGTGAGAGGTGTGGCGTCGACTTTGTCAAGGAGGTTTTTCATGCATATTGACCAGGGGCTCATTTTAAATAATAAAAAGTTCTGCTAGATTATCAGCCATATCCGTCATTTGTCGTCGTTAATGAGAAGAAGCAGCCAAGTTCAGGCCCTGGCAGGCCCCTAGCCCCTTGTAGGTAGGCAATATCTTGCCTGAAGTGCATGCATGTACTGTGTGGTGGCCTACCCTGAATGTCGCAGGCGCTATGCTCTCGTAAAAATATGTGGAATGAATCTGAGAAAAACGGACTAGTATACTTTCTGGATGATGATCTGGAATCTGGTTGCTGTGTGGCATACGTTTGTTCTACAGTTATAAGTGGAGGGTTGTACTGCGCAACTATACAACCGTAAAACAAAATAGTTTCACACTGCAAAAACCCAGCTGATGATTATGGCTGCTTTGTAATTGCGAATCTATAGTGAAACAATTGCGAAAGATTTCATTTTTAATGCGAAGAAAATCCTTCACAATTGCGATGAAATACCTTTGTAGGCTTACGAAGCATCTAAATCCTTTCGCAATGTGAACAAATCCCGTGTAAAACACTTATGACTACAGCACTACAGACCAAGAGTTACTGATATGCCACATCCCCCACTTTTCTCGGAGAGCGGTGATCGGTGATCAGAGACGATACAGACGCCGGATGAGCGGTGCGCGGATCCTATTCGTCACATTTATACTTTTAAGACCAAGACCCAAAACACCAATCACACAAATACACCAATCTAGACATTAATGATATGGAAGATAAATTCATGAGAGTGATATATCATTTCATTTCTTTTTGGAAGCGACTATCTGATGGCAGGTCCAGAGGGCCAAATGATGTTTTTTCTTTGCCTTTTTTCTCTTTTACTTTTGTATTATGCCCCAGAAAACAATGTATTCCCACAATCTCACGAGATTTATGACGTTCCGTTTATTACTTTCTTGAGTTTTATTGACTGTGGCATATGACCGCCCGCGATCATAACGCAATATTTGTCAACGGATAAGTTTTTAGAGGAAAAATGCGACCAGTGTTTGATTTAACTATAATAGTCTACAACATGAAAAAGAAACATACAGCCTGGACAACAAGAACCAGTAACACACCAATTAAGATTATCTCCTGCTTGCATTAGGTACAAGTTTCAAAAAACTAAGACTTAAAAAATGTTTTGTACAATAATAAAATAGTATATATATGTATATTTTCTTTTGTACAAAGTTAAAGCATTTTAAGGTAGGTCAAAGACCTTTTAGTTGCACATCACATGGACTAGGAGGGCGCTTTGCCCCAAAGATTGATTTCAGTTCTTAAATAAACTTTTATAAATTAAGCTACCGACTGGAATGTACAGAACAACCATGAAATTGAATGACTCTCGGGGGGTATTTTTAAAACCTACAAATCACGCAATCGTTGTACTGTATTGCTAATTTCACTGTATTAGGACGCACTCGGCACGAAGTTAAATGAACCGATAACTCATCGGTTCCCACCACCACTGGCAGAGAGGTTAAATTGCAAGAAAGGAGGAAGATGGCCTTCTGCCACGATAGGGCGAATGTTCAACGTCCCAGTCTTATGCTGGTGTGGTGGGTGTCCGTGCCCGCCGCGTGCCCCGCCCAGCGAACGAACGCTGCGTCGCGGCGGTCGCGGTGTCGGGTGTCGGCCCCAGTTGAGCTGCAGGATGGCGCCACCAGTCAGGTGCGAGGCTCAGTCGTGGTGGTTCCCCCGCTCGCCGCCAGGGAGCAGACCCGTCGAGGTGATGACGCTACTCGGCGCCGACACAGGGCCGTTCGCGGGGGGCCGCGCCGTGTGGGTGCTGTGCTCTAGCGGCGGTACTCTGAAACAGGACGGCGCTCGTTAGAGTTAGATACGAGCGACCAACCGTGTTGGACCAACAGGGGCAGCCATTTTACTTTCCAACAGCGGCTGCACCACTACTTCGTTCGAACTGGATCAAAAGCATGTGAATATGAGTAGAAAGCGCAAAACGACAAAGTAAAGATTCCAATACTACAGAAACACCGACATTTACCAAGAAACACCCCTGCATAAGATCTGAACCCTTGTCTGTATTTCAACCACCACCCCGAAAGCACATCACAACAAAAACAAGGCATGCGGAACTACATACTGTGTAACGAGATGCCTGCTGGTGAGCACGCACGAGGGGGGTAGGATCAACGAGTCCACGCCCGAGGCTTCCCCGTGGCCCCCGTGGCCGGGGTGCCCGTCGAGCCCTGCACCCCCGTGGTTCCCGGGGGAACCTGTGCCGCCCGTGGCCTCCCCGTGCCCGAGTAGGCCGTGGCCTAAGCCGTGGCCCAGGCCGTGCCCCAGACCGTGCCCCAGACCGTGGCCCAGGCCGTGGCCCAGGCTGTGTCCGAGGCCGTGTCCGAGGCCGTGCCCAAGGCCGTGCCCAAGAGCGTGCCCCAAGGCCTCCGGGTAGCCCGCGGAGGCGCCGGGCCCGGCAGCCCCGTACTGCAGCGGCATGGGCTGGCCGCCAGAGTATGAGTGGTACCCGTCCGACATGTGCATCTTTTCTGTCGCGGCAGAGAGAAATCAGACAACCGTCAGATGTAAACACTGACGGACCATTCGGAACGACTGGCAAACAAACAGACGGGTGACCGACGCGGAGGCAGCGATGAAACTGTCGCACACTTCTAAAGGCCGAAGCTGTACCGCGCACGGTAGGGGTTGGCGATCAGTCGAGATCAGAATAATGATGTCATGTTATCGCGAAAACTTGAAAGCTAAAATGGTTTACGCAAACAAGGACATCACAAACGTTGCATTGACGATAAAGGGCTACAACTCCCTTAAACAGAGTAACAGGAAAATGATTGAACATTAGCAAAAGCCTCTTTGACAAAAAGACAAAAGCACGATGGCTATGTATTTCGGTCTCGCCCCTGATCCATAGCGACCTTACTGTCGACTCGCGTTCTTCAAAGCCAACACGGACGTTCACCCTCATCCCATTTATTAGTCAAACGAATGCAAAATTCCACGCCCAGCTCGAAGCGAAAGCGGCATGGCGATGCGTGAGTTGAACCGCGGTACAAGATTCCCAAGAGCAGCATATCTCGTGGCACACTTACGGTGGTGCATGGACCCGGGCGCTTTTGTCTCCTGTTTGACGGATGGACTCATCCCCGCACTCCCCGGATTATTCTTGGGTTTTCTTTTCCTCTGCTGGATGCTGTCTTTCTTCATGGTGAGTGGTCGATTTACCTTCACAGAGGAAACATCTCAATGGCGTCTCTATCACAATAGATAATCCAACCGATTACTCGGGGAAGATGCTCACGTTGTGCAGTTTGTAGTACAGTCCGCACGCGTTGCAAACCGGGTCACCGTTATTGTTCCGTCTCCACAACGTTGTGGTAGTAGTGTTGCAGTTGGCGCACATGACCCCTGTCCTCCTGTTGCCGCTGCCCTGGGGCTGAAAGAGACGTTCACGATTAAAACACGTGAACAGCCTCGAAAAATCAAATTCAGTCAACGTCGCCCCTCGAAAACTTACGCTGACTGCGGGGGCTTTCTTGATGTGCGGCCGCGTGGGCGGCCGGTTCACCCCGTTGATCCTGTTGTACAAGCCGCACGCGTTGCATAAGTAGTTCCCGGCGGTGTCTCTGCGCCACAGTGGCGTGTGCGGAGCCCCGCAGTTGACGCACTCCTTCATCTCCAGGTGGCCTGCCACACACAAGTCAAACAGCATGTCAAAGCGCGCCCCCACAATAAATATTCACGAGGCGCCGATAGCGCCTGCCAAGCGCTGGGTAGGCCAACCCGCCAAGCACCTGTGTGAAGACGGTGGCCCGCCCAGAACGCCCGATTGTGGGGGCTCCGGGCCCGGGCAGTCCGCTGTTAGGCTTGACTTGACTAACCACGAGGCCTCTTTTGACCCAAGGTTCATGACCCGACCGGAGCGATAGCATCATTGAATAAGCGTGACAGCTCATTCACGCATTTGGAAAAACAATGGAAGTTTCCTTTCGAAAAGAACAGGGTGAAATAGGGATTCAAGGCCGTTAGGTGCAACTCACTCGGGTCGTAGGGTTCGTCGGTTAGGGCCCAGGTCTCGGAGCTGTACTGCGCGTAGGGAGCAGCGCTTGAGGACATGGCTGGGGACTGTTGGAAAGTGAAGGCCTCCCCCGGCTGCGGCGAGCCGGACGCCCAGGCTGCCGACTGTGACACGGAGTACGTCTGTGTGACCCCATTGCTGTACATGCCACCCTGGGAGGTGGGCGACTCGGAGGTGTCGTAGATGTGGGCGCCGGGTTGCGCCAGGTACGGGGAGTACACGGGCTGCTTATGGCTGTAGGCCGGTGAGTAGTTGGTGGAGGTGGAGGTGAGCGTGGGGTCTGCCTTGAGGTGCACGGGTGAGGAGGCTGGCGAGTACACTGTCGCGTTGGCCAGGGCGTCGACGCCGGACTCCACCACCTTGCCCGCCCAGCCGCCCTCCAGGTAGGTGACGCGCTGGTAAACGGCGTCCGGGCCGCACTCCCCTGCTCGCCCGCCAGACTCGAGCGTGGTGTACGTGGCCGCCGGGAGGGGCATGAGCTGCTGATGCTCGTCCTCCTCGTTCTCGTACTTGAGCTGGGGTGACACGATGTACCCCATCTGCTGATGGTGGTGATGGGAATCGCTGACCACCTCCCCAACATCGTCCATCTGGTGCGGCGGCGGCGGTGGCGGAGTGCCCATCTCCGGGTAGCCGGTCATGAAGCCCCGGCGGCGGTGGTCCAGGAGTGCCCCCGGGTGCGGGCCGGCCAGTGGCGCGTGGGGGTTGGCGTGGTGCGAGCCGTGGGGGGAGCCAGTCTGCGCACGGGCGATGTGCTGGTACCTGGGCAGTTCGGCTGGCATCATGAGGATGCCCGGGTCCAATTTATCCTGCGAAAGATGAACACAGCGTTGATTCAATACGTTGAAATTAAAATTACGGGACGACGCGAATGTTGAAATTGTCAGCCTACCTCTTCGACATGGAAAGACATAGGGGTTGTGCTAGCGATGGTGTAAGTGAATTGGCCAGCCTCGGCCGTCATGGGGTAGCCTCGCTCCGTCACCATGACCACTCGCTCCCCGTACACGCTGTACTCCTGCGCAGCGCGCGCGTCCAGGGTGATGGCGGACATGTCACGAACCTCAAATTGCTCATCGGGGTGGGTATCCACGCTGCGCACATTCAACAAGTTTACCGGCATGTTTCAGACGCTAATCTGCGAACGTTCCAATGGATGTAGTACTCACCCCGCCTCCACGGAGCCGGGGGCTGGCCCTGCCGCCTGAGCGGCCCGCAGAACCTCGACGTGCGCGTGGCCGCGTGCGACCTCTTCGCCGGGACTGCTCCCGCCGGGTTGGTGCCGCTCGCCGCCATCCTGGTGGTGGCCGAGGTCACTCTGTGGCTGAGGCTGTTCCTCCTCGGGAATGTCCTCCGCCTCGGCCTCGGTGATGAGCCCGGCGGTGGTGATGGTGCGCACCAGCTTGCTTCGCCGGGTGATGACGGCTGGCCTGGACTCCTGTTGCAGTTGCAGTTTCTGCAGGGCGGCGGCTTCCTCTGCAGCGGCCTGAGCCGCGGCCTGGGCCTCATCCTGGCCAGGCGGAGAGGCTGCCTGCGGCTGTGCGGCGCTCTGCGCGGCGGCCACCAAAGCCTCATCCTCGGACGGCTGGGTGTCCTGATGGACATCCTGTCCGTCGGGCTGGCTGACGGGCACCTCCATGCTAGGTGAAGGTGCCAACCTGGCAAAAGCATACGCGTGTCAGCAACACAGCACACAAACAAGATACCACCCCGCGCATTCAAGCACGGTCCAGGAGCTCACAAATGTGGACATGTCCTAAAACATTTGCGTTGAACTCTCCCAAAAAAAACTGTTTGGGGATATGTGTGGTGTGCGCCGCGGGAGCGAAAGAACAATAAGAGTAAAAGTGAAGAAAAACAAAGAAATAGAAAGGGAAAGAGTGAGCGCAAGGCTCCAGCGAGACGGAGAGCGCGAGAAAGAGAGCGAGAGAGAAAGAGAGAGAGGAAGTGTGGTGAGCGTAAGGCCGTCCGGACCAATGTTTGCTGGGGGCCCTCCGCCCCCGGGCCCCGCCCGTCCCGCCCGGCTCAGACGCCGGAAACATATGCGCCATCTATGTTCCGCGGGAAGCGGGAAGGCACGTCATGAGTCGAACTGCAGAACAAACGCGCGATCGCCCAGACAGGCCTATAGTAGTCTTGCTTATATGATACGTTTTGTCAGTTGGGAAATTGGTTCGGCCTTTGAGGATGGCCTTTATGGGTTTAGGATGATCAACCGTGCGACGAATGCACAAACTGCTCCTCGTTCTCTCGGTCGGAAAGCACATGGGAAAGTAAAAGGGGAAAGGAAATAACGCCCAAAACGACGCGCGTGGAGTCCGTTTCCTCTGCTCGGGGCGAAAGTGTGGCGTTATAGGCCAGCAGGGCAAGGCTGGAGGAAGTGTGACAGGAAGGTGACAGTGCAGTGCCCCGCCCGCCACAACTCCCTCACAGTCGCATGGACGCTGCGCCGCCGAGCCCGGAGCGCGGAGCCGGAGGCCGGAGGTGCCGAAGGGCACCCGACCTCGCCCTCCCGGGAATGGAGTTGTTTACCTGCCCCTGCCCGGTCCGCCCCTGGCCCTGCCTATGCAAACGGGAGCGTTCGGGATAAAGCGGGATAAAGTTATAGGCCTTGCAGGACCAGCCCCGATCCGAGCCTGTGAACGAACTCGCTGGCTTCTACTATGCGCTGGCCACTTCTCACTGCACTGTACCAGGTGGCTGATTGACCCCGCGCACTTTTGTAATGCTACTGTACCGCATGCAGGGGTGATGGCGGGTTACCCATCCGGTGTCGGTATGGCGCCGTGGTATAAGCGACGAAAGGCAAACCCGCCCGCCCGCCTGCAGGTGGTACAGCGCGCGGTGTACAGTATAATTACAAAAAAGTGAGTGCTTAATCAGCCACCTGGTATATTTCCATAATGACACATATCGCACTTATGACACACAACACATCCTCTGTAGCAACAAAATAAAATAAAAATATATGAATGAAAAATAGAATGTTGCCGACAAATGTATTACTGTAACAATAAATCACCTGTCATCTGATAGGAGTGCGCATGTAAAAAAGCAACTTTTTTGTTTGAAGGAATATCGGCGCAAAACTATATGTTATAGAACTAGACCATAAAACAATTCACTGATATATTTTACATACGCACTTTTGTCAGACGGAGATGACAACTAATGTGCCTTTGATTTTTTTTAGTGGAAGCAGCCAGGATTTTCTGAGCACGATGCACAACTGACACATTACTTTGAGGATCTCTTCTTGCGACCTCCACCGGTGCGCGTAGGCGGGGCATAGCAGAAACAAGGACGAAGGG